TGACTATTTACCACTTTAATTATAAATGGAGTATATTTGACTAGCTTTGTCTTCAAGAAATGAGGCAAGTCCTGGCATTGAGCAATTGTTTTTCGCTCAATGGCTCGAGGGTACGACAAAATGTTTTTACCGTTCCGTCTCGAAAGTTCATCGTTCACGATGCCACCCATTTCTTTCGTCCTGACCGTAGTCTGAGTGTCGTTTCTTTAAACAAGTACAAGAAGAATAACAGAATCACTCAATCCGCAATGGGATCAGACAAGTCAATTTTTCTGTCGTGTCACTGATATCATTCGTTCGACCATTCCAGGGTTCAACGCAGGACTTCATGGTTAGGGCGGTGCTTACTGCCCGTTTCGGCCGTGCATGCAAACCATAGGCGTTATTCAGTTCTGAGGTCCCTGATGAAACATCATACTGTCGGTTGTGAAGAAGGCTAACAGTAACGGAGTGGCGCTCTGTTCATCTTCGCAGTTTCATTATTGATGTAAGAACTTGACCGAATTTTTGATTGGATGCATTCAAGGAGAAAAGAAACATATTTGGGAAACTACATGGAATGAGGGAAGGTACTGGCTAACCATCTTTCGCACGATCCATTATAGGAGATCTTGTTGATTCACGTATAATATCTGCATATATGTATATATTTTGGGCTTGAGGTTTGAGAAAGTAGGTGACCTTAATTTTTTGGAAAATTATGGAATTAGTTCCAGGCATAATCAAGGCTGCCATTTTTTATCTTAATAAGGAACTACAAGCGCACATATGTATGATTATCGGTTATTACCTTTGATTTGTATCGCAAGAAATTTGGCAGCAAAAGGCTGTGTGAGACAGAAAGCAGTTGGCCTGTCGTCAATGAAACGGTGATCGAGATATTCCGTAGAGATTTCTGATAATACATTAGCCTACAAATGCTGCAACTGTAGCATTTCATACGTCTATGGTTGACACATTGTACAGCAATGCTTTGTCAATATCATTATGGTAAGAACTCCACGTTTGCATATCACCCTTGCGATGACCGTTGCCACTCCAATGCAGGTACGTTCTATGTCAACCGCTGAAGACTTAGCATCG